GACCCTTGCGCTGAGTTTGTGGTGTGCAGGGCTCTCGAGGGGTGACACAGATTACAACCACCTAGCAAGGAAGGGCGTAGACCCATTTCATTCGATCTCCTTACTAAAATACACAGTAAATTAAAATCAGTGTGCTGGTCCAAATATGAGGCCCATTTATTCTCAGCTGCATATTCCATAGCATTTTTTGGCACTCTTAAGAGTTGGTGAAGTGGTACATGAAGGTGAGCCAGGTCCTTTATCCCGAGGCAGCTTGCAGCTTGATGATATTCAGCTTTCTGATTGAGGAAGTGAGCCAAAGAGGAAGTCCTCTGGCTCGCTCATCCATTTAAACGGCCCCAGCCACGCCCCCTCCCCAGCCAGCAGGTTGGCTGGCTGGGCTCTGACGTGGCCGGGATCCCCCAGGCAACGGGGGACAAGGTCCCCCGTCCCCGGTGGGGAGTGGGTGGCCACGCGGTCCACCACAACTCCTCCCCACTTGGATTTGTCAAAGGCACTGGAGAAGTAATGGGAAAGGATGGCAACTGCCCAAGTCACTATTTTATGTATTTCCATTCTCACAGGCTGCTGTTATTAACATTGAGCAAAGCAATTATGTTCATCTGCCTTAGGAAAAAATGATGACATGCTTCTCTCTCTCGAGGCATGAAGAGTGGAAATAAATACCCCAGAGGCTTCTTCCTCTGAAGAGGAAATGGTGCTAGAAATCCCTTGTCAAATATATACAGCAAGGCACACATCTCAGGGTACCCCGTATTTTGTTTTCTTTTACATTAATTGCTGAAATACTTTCTGGTCTATTCAGAAATAAGCCCCATTCAGCTCAGTGCGACTTATTTGTATGGTTGGAGTCAAGTAAGCTGCATTCATCCTGCATGCCAGCTATGACTGTGGCCACTGGGCCTCAAGTTGCTGAGGAAAACAGTAAATCCAGGTTTTGTTGCCTCAGCCGCAAGCTCCTCACAGAAAGCAACAGCATGGACTGTTGTGATATTCCCAGCATCACTGCTGCTGTGTTCACTTCTGGTTCTGGAATCTAGAGACAAGATGAGCATTGAAGCAGAACAAATAATGCTTTGAGATACTTCACATTTGGATGTCCCAACAGGGGAGAACAAGGCATTCATTTTTGTAAGTCAAGTAGTAGCTCACTGTAGTGAGCATTGCCACTAGGCAATGGTGGATAGTGGCTGGACTCTTGGTCTCAGGCAACCTTCCTCAACCTCAGCCCTCCCGATGTTTTGAGACTACAATTCCCATCATCCCTGACCACTGGTGCTGCTAGCTAGGGATCATGGGAGTTGAAGGCCAAAAACATCTGGAGGGCCGAGGTTGAGGAAGCCTGGTCTCCAGGGTTGTGGTGGTAACAGCAGATATTTAATCTGCATCACAGTGTGGACAACTCTGGCTTCGGCAAAACCAAAAGTCCCTGGGACTGCAGAGCAGAGCACCTTTGCCTCACGGTGAAGCTACTACAGTAATAACTTGTCACTGCACATCGGGAGTTATGGGACCAAGCTTCCAGCTCTGAAAAAAATATGGTTTTTAAGCACATTTAAAACTGTAACCTTTGCAGATTTTGAAACACAGGACGGCAGTCACATTCCTTCTTCCCCTGTGTAGCATTACCATCTAGCAAAATTATAATTTAAGAAGAGCCCTGCTGGATCAGGCCAAAGGCCAGTCGAGTCCTATGGGAAACTCACAAGCCCGGCCTGAATGCCACAGCACTCTCTTCACTTGTGATTTCCAGTGACTGATATTCAGAGGCATGCTGCCTCCAAGAGCAGAGAGAGGACACAGCCAATTTGCAAGCAGGTTGTTTGCCTTTGCAACCAACATTTTTGGCTGCTCTCAGCAACCCCTGAATGGAAATACTCTCCTACCATATATTTTTTTTCTTATCTGGGCTGATTGTTTCAAGCAGAAGGGATTGTGTGGAACTGGATTGCTCATTCCATGGCATTCTGTTGAGCTGAAGTGTTTTGAAAGAACAGTCTTGACACTGGGTGCTGAAATGCCATAGGGATGCTAGCAAACCTTCTGCCAAGGAGCTTATAGGAACAAAAAACAGCTCATCAGCTGGCCATCGATCACAGCTCACTTTGAGATTAAACTTAGTATCATTAGCATTGATTGATTTCAATGCATGCTCTCAATTTAGAAAGCCCCCTCGAGAGCAATGTTTCATAGGATTTCCCCAGACAAATCATGCTAGTTTATAGCACAAATGCACAGCTGTAGCCAATTTGTTGCACAGGTTTTAGATCAGGGATAGCCAACATGGTGCCCTCCAGATGTGGTTCAACTCCCTTCAGCCCCAGTCAACACCAAGGAGGATGGAGGCTGTAGGCAAACATCTGCAGGGCACCCATGTTTCTAGAGCTACCTTACTTCCAGAGTCTGTGGGAGGAGGGAAGGATATCATACCTAACATTCAGATATAAACATAAATATATAGTGTTATTGCTGGGGGAAATGCAATTCCCCCTTCTCCGGCACCACTTACCTTCAGAGTGGGGCTGTGTGGTTGCATTAGATACTCCTCAGGGGAGGATGTAGGGGAGCCTTCTTCATACTTTTGACATTTAACCAATTACTCAAGTGGCAGCATTTTCAGCAACCTTCATTTATATCCCATCAGTGACTGCAGACTGCATTCAGTAGTTGCTGATGGATTTGTATAACAGCATCTTTATGTGTTGTTCCACAATAGTGCTTGTGTCTTGTGATCCCCACACCCACCCCAGTCAGAATACCCGTGTCATTTTCTGACCCAGATCTCCGTCTACAACTTAGGCACTTATACCAATGCAGAAATCGATTCATTTCAAGACCTCTGTGTTTGGGGTCTTGCCAGTTGTTCCTCCTCACATCCGCATCTCACAATAGGAATTTTCAGGCTTAAGAGACTTGAGGTAGAACTTGCTGTCCAGGTGAAACTGGCAAGGCCTCTCTGGAATATGATTTGAAACACAGGCACTTTAGCACCTGTGCAATTTCCCCTTTGCAGGGAGGGAATGCACTCCCCATTACCCATTGGGGCAAATACTGAAACAGCAGAAGGGGAATAGCAAGAGGGCTCTCCCTTGCAGGCAGTATGTTTTCCACTAATCATTACATGTGGACTGGATAGTACAGTAGGGCCTTTGAAAGGACTTTTAGGCAGAACAATTTAGACGGAAAACAACACTGCTGCCCTCTGTTGAGCAGCATGGCAAGACTGGCTACCATGAAGTTTTTAGAGCAGCCTCCCCCAACCTAGTGCACTCCAGATGTTGTTGGACTACAGTCCCTATCAGCCCTAGCAAATGGTATGGGATGATAGGAGTCGTAGTCCAACACCTGAGAGGGACAGAGCTGGGGAAGGTTAGTCTAAAGATTACCACTTTTGCAGTCAGAACTGCTGCTTGAATGAACACTTTGGCCCAACCCTGACACCTGACAGCTGAAGCAATGTGGTTGCATTAGCAGTCCATTAGCAACTAAGGTAACATTAGCATGGTTGCAACATGGCATCTGCACCCAGAATTTTATTGGGATTGGAGGATATTGTTTGAGTTGGCAGAAAATCAATCAAGCTTCCTTTTTTTCAGCTTGTAGTCCACCATGTAGCATGGCAACCTTTCCAAAGAGAATAGGTTGCTTTGCATTTACTCAGGGATGAAGCCAAAGGCATATACATCTTGTACATTTCAGCTGGCACAAAACCAGATTAGCGTAAGAAAGACCTGAGAAAACTCTCTTCACTTAGCAGTTGGGAAGGGTGGGGGAAGGAAGACATCATTCATTACACAGCAACAAATCTCAATTTGCTGCCATGTGTACACTCAGCTCCATTTGGAGGATGCACCTCTTTTTCAAGTATTAGGTGCTCAATCTCACATTTTTAGGTGTACATCCGAAGAAATCTTAGATGTACACTCAATAACCAAAATGTGTAAAGGTGTGTAGTAGAGATCACCTATCTAAATTTTAGAGCTCTGTATGTGAGTATCAGCAGGTCCTCTTCACACAGTAGAGAATTGTGTAGAAAATGGTTGTTAGTATTCATCTGTCTTGAGAGACAATGGTGTGCCTCCGAGGAGGAAGCCAAACCACTGTGTTAGCAGCACCCAAGTTGTAGCATCACCAAAGTCTCCTAGGGGCACAAGCCTGGGCAGTATGTATGGTGGTCCTGGGCTGCTGAGACAACACATCGCTGATGTGTTGGGCTGCAGGGCCACATCTCTGTTCTAACCTATTCGCTGTGTGGAGGATCCTCACATAATTTAGAACCCTGAGCACTCAAGAGTTCCAGCTCCATGGGAAGCCCCACATACAGAGAAGATCTAGATATATCTATATAGACAGGTGTAGATATTGGGCTCAACACAGCAGTGGAAGAATAATAGGAGTAGAATGAATGTGGGGTTTGGGCCAAACATATGGCCTCACAGCCCCATTCACTTTGCTTGCCCTCTATGCACAAGTAAAAAAGTAAGGTAAAGGACCCCTGGAAGGTTAAGTCCAGTCAAAGGCGACTATGGGATGCAGCAGTCATCTCACTTTCAGGCCAGGGGAGCTGGCGTTTGTCCGCAGACAGCTTTCCAGGTCACGTGGCCAGCATGACTAAACCACTTCTGGCACAACAGAACATTGTGATGGAAGCCAGAGTGCACAGAACGTTGTTTACCTTCCCACCACAGCGGTATCTATCTATTTGCACTGGCGTGCTTTCGAACTGCTAGGTTGGCAGGAGCTGGGACAGAGCAATGGGAGCTCACTCAGTCACGGGGATTTGAACCCCACAGTGCCACCTGCGTAAAGAGGGCTATAGTACTCAACTAATACTTTACGAAATATACACATTCCTTGCCAAATCTGTTGAATGCTTGAAGCAGGATATATCAGCTGGATAGCTCAGTTGGTTATAGTGTGGTGCTGATAGCACCAAGGTTGTAGGTTCAGTCCTGGTAAGAGACAGCTGCATGTTCCTGCACTGCTGAGGGTTTAATTAGATGATCCTCATGGTCCCTTCCAACCCTATGATTCTTTAGCATACAGTGTTGATCTGGATACAACTTTCTTCTTTTTCTTCTTGAATTAAAAACCCACCCCTCCCCTCTGGTTCCCAAGAGAAGCGTTCACTTGACTCATCTCTCACTGGTACACATCACAATCACCAGAAAGTGACGGCACGACAATCAGGCAATACCAAAATGCTTTCCAGCAAGAAAGAACCTTAGCCAGCTTTTACTTAATGATGGCAACTTAATAGTTGCAGTTTTTCAGTTGGTTCTTTAATCTTTTCTGAGGTACTAATGCCACACTCTACTAAGAGATCCAACCTTCCAGGATCTGCCTTTACATAATAGAAACTGTATAACAGCACATTTACTCAGAAGTCCCGCTGAGTTCCAAGGGGCTTACTTCTAAGTAATTGTGCATAGGGCTGCAGCCCAACAGAATGATCCTGCACGTGTCTACTCAGAAATAAGTCCCACTGTATATTGTCTGCGCTTAAGAGGTGGCAGGTATTTTCGTGAAGCCTGAAATTATTTTATTCTTAAAACTCAGTTAACTCACAGCTAGATAGAGTACAAGGGCAAATTTAAGGTACAAGTTCCCCTGGCCAGGGATGGTCTTGCTTTTGCACAGCACAGCTAGTGGAAAATGACAGTTCCATGGGAAAAAATGAATCCATTTCTTCCCCATCACAAATTTTGAAGGCTTCTTATTCATTGAACAAAGAACTCAATGCTTCAGGCTTCAGAGGTAGAGTAAGTCTGGGATGGGGTACCTCCCTATGCTGCAATAGATTTCTGTATCTTGATATTTAAGGGTCAGTTGTTTAAACCAACTAGAGATGTCTCATCACAGTCATTTTTTTCTGTCTGTTCTTCTAAGTGCACCCCCATCTGGTGAAAGTGAAGCACAGCTGATTTTCCCCAGGGACATTTTCTACAGCAGGAATATTTTCGCACCTTTCCTTCATTGCCATTTGGAGATGCATTCATGAAGAAGCAACCAACTTGGCCGAGTTACAGCAATATCCATAATTAGTGTAAGAAACCCCTATGGATGCATCCCCCTGTACTATGCAACAAGTGGTTTGGAGTGAAAGCTTCAGGGGCCGCCTTATGGCAAGCCAGGGGAATGATAACAAACCAATTAGCCGTACTTGCTTGGTGCTCCCTTTAGCAAGAAGGGAAGGGATGTTCTAGGCAATTAGGTATAACTGTCGTGACGGTGAGGTGTCCTTGGCATCTGCAAAGCAAAATTCAGCTGCCCCTTTGCAACCACGGGACAGACGGAATAAGAACACACAAAATGGCTAAACGCTGCGGGGAGACTCCAGTGCTGCTGCCCAATTTAGAGGACATTTCCATGTGACCAAAAGCCCAAATTTAATGCAGCCCTTGGAATGCAAGATTTCCTACAGGTCTCCAGGGCCGATGGGTGTAAATCCTGAGAGGAACGGCTCTGCCTTGACCTTCTTGCCGTTAACAGAAGTGTGGACCAGGGCTACGTCTTTGTGTCCCTAGCTGGAACCCAGCAAGCTGAGACAGAGTGGGACAAGGACCCAAGGTGCAGTCATACATTCCCCCACCCCCAATCCTCTTCGGAAGACTCCATCATTATGAATGTTCCAGGTGTAGGGAGAATCTACAGCCTCCAGTTCTGCTGCAAGATGGTGGTTCTTTCCCTCGGCTTTTCTTCTCCTTTGTAAAGTCTAGAATCATGACCCCTGTGTCCCTGGGACCTGAGGTTCAGGTGTAGTTTCCTGGACCACCAAGGGGAATAACAAAGACAGAGATATCATCTCCAGAGCCCAGCTTGTCATTGGCCAGCCTCCAGCCACGTTCCTTCAGAACCCCTCTGGACCTCACCACCAACTCCTGGGCCACCATTGTGTACCTGGGAAACAGAACCAGCCCATCAGAATGCACACCCACAATGCAAGAGATGTGGTAGAGTACAGTTATTATTATTTTTTAAGTACTTCTTTTAAGTGTGAATGGTGTTCACAATAATGATCTCATCCCACTTCATTCCCTGTGCAACTAATTAGGAAATTGTAGGCCAGTCATTCATTTACTCTCACTCACCTTTCAGATTTGGCCTGGTAGTGGGTGGGGATACAAGGATCGGGCCCATTGGGCAGAAAAGGTTCCCCACCCATGTTTAAAAACAGTAAAGTGCAAACGGTTGGTTGATTATATTCAAATGTATGTAATGAAGTTCCAACTTTAAAAAAAAGAATCAAATTTTGGGAAGCTGAAATTTTGAGCAAGAGAGTGGGTAGGAACCTCTAGCATAAAAATGGGATTTTGAATGGAAAAACAGCTGCCAGTTTAAAAGGTTAAGAAACCCCTCCTTCTCCCCACATCTACTACTCAAAATTGCAACCTCTTAAAGCTGCTTTTAATTTCCAAGAAATTGGTGCTTCATTACACAGACACACATGAACAACAAACATGTAATTTGCCCCTAAGACCTAACACCACCAGGGGACTTGGTTTGGAGTGTAAGAGAAACAAGGTAAGAGAAACAAAAAGCATTCATGTTCCAGAATAGAAAAGAGGTAAGAGAATAAATCAACCCCAGACTGAGAGCAAACAATGGACCTCAGAATCTTAGGAAATAAAGTCTCTGCTCAACCACTCTGGTGTAAGTATTCCTCAGCACGCAGGTGCAAAACCTTGCCCCACTCACCTGCAAGGGTCATTGGGCTCATAGCCCATTAGGACATCAAATACCACATTGGCAACCTCTCGGTCATTGGTGACATCCCAGAGGCCATCTGTGCCCAGCACCAGCACATCGTCAGGGCAGTGCTCATACTGTGTGAGGTCATAAACGCGAACCTGCAGAAAAACGTAAGGGATGCAGCCTCACTGCTCTGGTGGCGAGGCTCTGCAAATGCTTTTCCTCAAGGAGAAGCACTTTCTGAGTCCTGTCACTCCCCAGAGGTGAGGAAAAATTCTGCGCTTAGACACCTCATTCATAAGCATGTACAGGAATCTTGGAACAGCAGCACTATAGCTACCCAGTAGAATTATCCTGGACACTGAGGTCCAGCTCTGAGGGTCTTCTGGTGGTTCCCTCATTGTGAGAAGTGAAGTTACAGGGAATCAAGCTAAGGGCCTTCTCGGTAGTGGTGCCCGACCGGTGGAACACCCTCCCATCAGATATCAAGGAAATAACTATCTGGCTTTTAGAAGACATCTTAAGGCAGCCCTGTATAGAGAAGTTTTAAATGTTTGATGTTTTATTATGTTTGATGTTTTTATTTGTTGAAAGCCACCCAGAGTTGCCGGGGCAACCCAGTCAGATGGGCAGCATATAAATAAATTGTTGTTGTCTTGAAGCCTAGCTCTGCAGCTACACCAATCTTACCCACAGCTTCAAACCTTTCTATAATGCGCTCTCTCTCTCTCTCTCTCTCTCTCTCTCTCTCTCTCTCACACACACACACACACACACACATATGCAGAAGCCCCAGAATTTTTCTGCCTCAGAATCTGATCCCTCGTGAGCCTCCCTCCAGTGTCCTAAAGGGACTACTATATAGATTTGTTGATGGTGGTGGACAAGACCTCAGTCCAAACACTCAAGCCTGAATTAGAAGCACCACCTGTGTGGATGTGTGTGTGTTGTACAGGCTGGACACATGAGTGGAGTGTGTGTGTGTGTGCTGGAGGTGTGTGTGACAATCCTGCAAATCAGAATGGAGTGTGACAGAAAGAAGCACCTTGCCTGCAGCCAAACCTGGTTTGGAGAGCTAAGGGTGATCAAAAAGCTCCAGGAACATCGTTTTGGAATATTTGATGAAAAATAAAAATATGCTGTTACTGAGCAGCTGTAATTCCAGGAAGTAGAATCTTAGCTCTAATGAACTCACCTCTGGGGTGCAGGACAGGAAAGGTTTGATGTGGATGTTGGAGCTGTACACCTTGAGATCATGATCACCCAAACCCCGCGTCACCCCAATAGTTGCCATCATTCGAGCCTAGGAGGAAAGTAAGGTGGGGAAGCCTTTTAATAGGATAGCAACATAATGAGCATCTGTGCAACTCGGATAGGCTCCTAGCACTCTGGCTTGCCTTGCATGCAGAAGGTCCCAGGTTCATAAGTATGGAAAGAAGGATCAGAGGCAGTCAGCCATAAAGCAGAATACAGATCTCAATTAAAATAGATGACTCAATTTTTGAGCATGCCACATGCCTCCTCCCATACCAGCCTGGCTATGCATTAAGATCTACAGATGAAGCCTTTCCCTGGGTGCCATCAATTGATGAACTATACATTTTTGTTTCCTTGTTTTAAATTGATTTTATGGGCTTTGTCCGCTTTCTAGTTTTATTATGTGTTGTCATCCTGTTTTTAGTGTTGTATGAAGTGTTTTTATGCTTTCTCTTATTTTATAGGGCACTGAATTATATTGTATTGCTGTGTATTCACCCTAAAACCCATCAGGATGAAAGATGGTTTAAATTGTTTAAACATAACATACATTGTGTCCTATGGAGTGGGGGAACAAGCAGGTAGGTATCATACAAAAATTGCTCAGTGCAGACTTACCAATGAGCCGTCTCTGTCAAAGCCAAAGTGTGCTTCTGACACCAATATCGCATACCTCAACCTATATTATTAGGTCTACTCCGAATCCTCATGCCCTTGTTTAATGAAAATTCTCTCCACTTCTCCAACGATTTTCAAATGCGCTCAGTGCCTCACCTTTTTACCCTCTCCGTAAACAAGTGGAAACTTCAGGTCATCTTCTTCTATCCTTTTATATGCCCTAGTTAGAAAAAGAAATCACACAAAATGTGTTGCAGTGCAGATGAAAGTTAGAATAGGAAGCTGCCCTAGTAAGACCACTGGTCCATCAAGCTCAGTACTGTTGCTATTGCGTGGCAACAGCTCTCCAGGTTTTCGGACAACAGACTGTCTCAGCCCTACCAGGCGATGTTGGGGATTGAATCTGGGACCTTTTGCATGCAAAGCCTGTGCTCTACCACTGAGCTCTGGCTGCTGTGAAAAGCACAACTGAATATCCTCTTCCCAATGCCAAGCAAGCAAACAACAAACTCAGGTCAGAACCATTTCACTTAGGTAATTTCCCTGAGTGTACAGGCATGCATTTGTACAAACACTCACAAAATACATGATTTTTTCCCACTGTTATCTTTGACCAAGCAGGATTACTTAAGTCATACAAAAATCTGCAGAAACTCTTTAGTAGGAGCAATAGCCATATGAGTGTGCACATCATACGCCTCTATAATACCAAAATAAACTCCCTTTTTAAAAAATGCCTTCATTGTCGGTCTCCAGCTTTAGTAACACAACAAAAAGAAAAAAGGGAGAAGTAGAGACTTTTCTAGTCCAGCAGAGTAGGGCAGTGGTGATGTAACTAGCTGTCACTAGAACACCAAGTTCCTTCGTCTTACATTTCTGATTGATTCTGGCAATCAGTGTAATCTAGATCAGATGAAAAGAGTTACCAGCCATTCATGTTTTGGTCCCTGTACAGCATCTTTTTCCCCACTTCCTTATGCTGGATTCTTCGAGGGAACTCGAGGTGAGTGAACTCATTCCCCAGCAGCTCAGGTCTCAAAAAGCCCTGGGAGAGGAAAGGAAGAGCAAGTTTAGTGATGAACACTGCCTGGATCTTCTCCACCCAAACAACAGAAATCTGTAAGTCCCACATCCCAAAGAACCCTCATGGGGGCGCACTGAGCATTCACAAACTCTTCTATGATTTGTTACACATGCTTTCCCTCAGATATATGTTTGTATGTTTGTATCTCTTACACTTACAAAGAAGGTAATTTGGGGAACATTTGAAAGTGCAGATCCTGCCGCCGCCCCTCCCCAATACACACCTATCCATCCTCGCTCTCACATACAGATGGAGCATCTAGGACAGGCATAGGCAAACCTGGCCCTCCAGATGTTTTGGGACTACAACTCCCATCATCCCTAGCGAACAGGACCAGTGGTCAGGAATGATGGCTTGTTGAGATGAAAAAGTTATTGGTAGGCATCTAAAACAGTATTGTGAGGGTCAATAGGCAAGGAGTTCAAAAGTGTAGGTGCTGCCACGTTGAAAGATCGGCCACAATTTTAAGCAGCTTAATTATTTGCCCTAGAAATTGGCAATAGTGACAGTTTTACTGCTTGAGCAAATAGCAGCTCCGAGGGACAGGCAATCTAGATCGGGACCATGGATTAAATCCCCACTCTGCCCAACATATCATATCTGGATCCCCACTCCTGCAGCTATTATACAATAAAGAAAAAAACACAAGGCCCAGTCTTGATTAATATCTCATCTTGTTTGGAGCCAAAACTTTATTTTCAGTACTACAGTTGACTCTTGAGGGCACATTTGCATCTTCTGCTCATGGCAGAATTAACAATGATCTCCCCCAAGCCACAAATGTTTTGAAAAACCTTATAAAGTCACATTTGGTTAATAAAAAGCCACTCAGCAGAGAGCAACTAGACCTTTGTGACTTGCAAAGGATTTGGTTGAAGTGGTTTTATCAAGCAGCTACCTAATTGCTAGATGAAGCATGAATTAACAAGACTGAGTCTTCTGCAGAAAAAGCTTCCAGGCACAAAAAACATCCAAAAGTGAAAACAGAAGCTGAAATTATTTAAGAGATATTTAAGGGAGACTAATGCACCACTCTCAGTGAGTGTGCAAGCACCAAAGTTTAGCTGAACAGGCAATAATTTTCCATTACCCTAGACAATCTATCCTATTTCTGTGCAAACGGGGGGGGGGGGGACCTGATAGACTAGATCCTATACCGACTGAATCCTATGCTATGTCTGGAGATGTCAGAATCCCATTTTGATACCAGGTTAGATGCTCCTGCTACAGCAATTCATTCTCTTCCACACATACACTCAGAGAAAATTAAAGGTGGCTTTGAGATTATTGCCTTTTCATCCTGCAAAGGAAAAGGGCTTTCTTTGTCCTCCTGGCATTGCTGCCCTAATCAGGGTTTAATTTTCAGAGCTGGCACTGTGATTTCCATGACTTGCCAACGTCTTTAGAAAGAGGCCATTACTCAACAAGCAAACCCTCAGCCAAAGAGCCAGCAACAAAAGCTCAGAAGGCAGCATCTACATTCAGCATACCTGGTAAACCTCGCAAGAATGGGGCCCAGGACTCAAACGGGCAGCAAATTATGCAGTGAATCCCCCTTTACTCACCCCCTTGTGTATTTTGAGTGTAACTAATCCAGAGAAAAGAGGAAATGGGCAGAACAAATTCTATTTTTTATGGCACAAAAGCCAAACTACAGAAGATTATATACATCAGGTTTCCCTCTTGCAATGATTTAAGTGGGGCATTTCAGATCACACTGGCCCAGTGTAAAGGATCGTTGCTCTGGCACTACTTACAGAAAAGGGCTTAAGCTATAAAAGGGCTTTGGCTCAAAGCAAACGACTCAAGCCCACGGGGGAAGTGTAAGATTGGTTTTCTGAGTGCTCAGTTTCTTTATCGCAGACAGTGAAGAGGATCCATTACTCGGTACAATTTCCTCCCTTCCAAGACATGGAAGCTGTTTGGATATAGAACAGCAGATAAGATTCCACCTGGTGTCTTGCCAAGGAGGTCCACTCTGAGCCAGGAAGCATTGCCAGCAGCACCTCTGCTTGCTTGCTTGCATTTTGGACACTCTCACTGTGCTTCCCAGGGATTCTTTCCCCTCCTCTGCCTCAGGGCAGAACTCATGCAATATGCAAATAATTTTAACAAAACCCTGGCAGCTCCTTCCTCTTCTAGGGAAAAGAGCTCTGTGTGTGTGTGGGGGGGTGAACCTTACCTTGCAAGCCTGACTCTAGAATTGGGGGGTCAGCAGGGGGAGCAAAGTGAAAGGGTGGAAGTGAGCAGGGCCTGTATTACCGTATTTTTCGCTCCATAAGACGCACCTGACCATAAGACACACCCAGTTTTTAAAGGGGGAATGCAAGAAAGAAAATATTCTTTAAAGGGAGCGCTGAGCAGAGCCTGTATGCATCCCAGGCTCTGCTCAGAGCTCCCTTTCATGAGCCGCGTGGAGCGTGTGTACGGCACTTGCAGGCTTTTCTCCCTCCTCTTGGGGGCTTTTGCAGGAGGTGGGGGAAGGGACAGAGGGGCTGAGCCAGAAGCTAGAACAGCAAGAGGGAGCGCTGCGCGATGATTCCTCTCGCTGTTCTGGCTTCTGGGACAGCTGCGCAGCCTGCATTCGCTCCATAAGACGCACACACATTTCCCCTTACTTTTTAGGAGGGAAAAGGTGCGTCTTATAGAGCGAAAAATATGGTACTTTTTATTGTGCAGTGCTCGAGCATTTTGGAAGCAGAAAGGCAGGAGCCCAGCACCACCAGAGCCTCTGGACCAAACTAGGGATGACGTTAGTTAAATAAATGCAATTCACACACACATTAGTAAAACAGCAGCCACAGGGAAGTCTGAGCAGCATCATGACCACACGGGGTGAGCAGGAAGAGTTTAACCCTCACCACCACCACCTGCCTGCGATGGTCCCAAGAGGAACTGCCCCTCAAAGCTGCTATGTGCTCTGGAGGGAAAGTCTCCATTGCTTCCCTCCTGATGCAAAGAGCAGTTTGTGGTGCATTTTCTTTAGCACCATGGCAGTGGATGGAAAACACACGTTATGTGGATGGACGCAATTAACACCACATCTAGTTGGGTCTTCACTAAGAAAGCCTGGAAATATGGAAGGAAGAGACTGAATGTTTATCAGCTACAATATCTGCCACCTCCAAAGGTTTATTGCCAGATCACTTAAAACATCAATCCTGTTCACGCAGGTTGCTTTTCATTTTTAGCACTATTTTTAATGCCCTTGACCTCCAAGCACTGGAGTTCTGAATATTCAGCACAAGGCAGGGTAATTAATACCTGCCTCCATCAATAACTGCAGTACAGCTTCCATTATCAGTACTGGTTCCTGAGTGGGTGATGTTTTGCTATTCTGTTTTTCAAATTAAATTTCCATTTATAATTTTGTACTACAAAATAGTATTTTCAATTACTACAAAACAGTATTTTGAGGTTTGTTAGGCTGTACATGTACATATGACTGTAAGTATGTAGGTTTAGACATACATTTATTGGTGAGCTATTGGGGCACTTGAAGACATTGTTCGTACTGAAACACCTTCTCACGTTTATTCCTGGATGGGTTTGGTTGATAGTGCTAAGTGTTGGGCAGTGGGTTAAAATAAATCAGATAGGGGAAAAAAAAAGTTAATTCTTACTAAAAACTGCAGCCTTTGCCTCTCTGTCTCTGGAGTAAACTCCCTGGACATTGGAATGATTTCCCCATTACGGATGATAATGGCCCTGCAATGAAACATGGAATGAGGACATTAGAGAGCATGTGAGAGAAAGAGACAGTATAGGAAGGGAAAGCAGAAAGGACATCCGTGGGCAAAGGGAAGCAGCAGTGTTAGCTAAGGTCCACTTTGCGTACGCTTATTTTCTATACAGAAAGGTGATTACTGTGCAGGTGGTTAGGGGAGAAGAATAAGCATGAAGTGTGGCATGAGAAAATGGTCTAGGCAGTTGATAAATGCAATGCATTGCCACACATTAAGTAGCCTAAAGAGGCTCCCTCTCCCACAGATGATTCCTCTTCCCAAAATGCCATCTTATGAGGCATTTGCAATTGCATCATGGAGCTCAGAGACCTATCAGTCAAAGTCTCCCTGATAGCCTCCTGTCAATTGCGCTACCACAATTGGAGGAAGAGAGAATCCTCTAGCTCGCTGCACCCCTTTCAATCTAAAGAGGCAGAATTCATTCCTGCTGTGTTCTAAGGATTACTGTAGCTCCTTATTTCGTAAGGAAGGTTAAATCTAGAGGCCTTGTCTTACACAAGGCCATTCGGTGAGGTCCATGGAGAAGAGATCTGAACGCAAGTGTCACATTTCAGCCCAGTACCAGTAATTCTCTATCTGTACGGGAAGTTGCAGGCACAGGTATTTGGGATTCGTCTCCCACTTCAAAAAAACCTCTCTGTAAAATGGATTAGAGCCTTCCCGAACCTGATGCCTTCCAGATATTTTGGAGTACAACTCCGATCAGCAGGCTCTGCAGAGCTTGTCTGTAGTCCGGGGCGGAAGTCCCCGGTTGACTGGAAGGCCTGGGATGTTCTTGGCATGATAGCCTAAGTCCAGCAGGTTCCTGGCGGGGCATCCTGGCCGATTTAGCCCTCCAAGGCCCACTGCCCCTGTGGATCCTGCTGCCCAAGGTGGTTGCCTCACCTTGTCTCATGGGTGGGCCAGCCCTGAACAGTGGGACATTGGACAACACAAACACATGGTGAAAGGAAGCAGAGCATTAGGAAAAATCAATCTAGAAAACAGCAGAAAGAATGAAGGGTGATCATGAGAAGAAAAGCATGGCCAACATAATCGGTAACCATCAACAAAACCATAAGATACAAAGTGCTCAATACATAAATTTGAATATGCACAATTCTCACTCCAGCCAACACTATTGATTGCTAACATACTGAGACTGAGCAAGAGAAGTGCTGCTGTTTTCAAACAAAAAAGGTTTTATGAACAAAAGAAGACACAAAATTCAACTGAACTGCAATGGTAGGCAACAACTGTGCTTAACTCCCAAAGCCTCCAGGTTTGCTGGAAGTGGCAGTTCTAATTTTGTCTAAGTCTTGCATCAGGATCCTGGTTCTGCTGCACTAAAGAATGGACTATGACATATTTAAATAATTATTCTGGTTTGATGAAAAACTTGCATTTGTCTGCAACAGTGATAGAGAGGATGTGCCACAGACACGTGCTCAGAGCTCCTGACTGATGCATGGGAAACATTACCAACAAATTTGCCCTTCCTATCTTTTTATCCATTCATTGTTTCCTACTTGGTTTTTTTTCAACATGCACAGAGCAGAGGGTAGCATCTCTGTTTTTCATGCAAAACCACAAAGAAGACTGACAGAGAAATCAGAATGAGGAACAGAACAAGCAGAAGACTCAGTGGGGAAAACAAAACCAATACTTGCCAACTCAACAACAACAACAACAACAACAACAACAACCTGCAATCATTTCCCCTTGTTTGGGAGCCCTTGCTCTAATTGGCATCCTTGTTTCACTTTCATTCATCTATATTCCAAAGGTTCTTAAGGCAACAAAAAGACATTTGATGAGAAAAAAGTCAAAGATGACACACCAAGAAAGTAACGGTATTCCACGTTTAGAAATGAATCACTAACAGCAATTGTAACCATGGACACTGTATCAACTATGGATTAACTGGAGACATCTACACTGCTCTATAGTCTAAAAGTGGCCTAGCAACTATTCCTTAGCCTACTTTATGTATTATCTACTGCTGTCGCTGCCCCAATGTTGTATGGTATCTTTTCCATGCCCCTGAAAGGGAAAATGTGTGCACATTGGCCTCCATGAAATTGGGGGTGCTACACAATTGTGGTTCCAGATCATGTGGAAGCCTATGCAGATGGAACTCTATGCACATAGGCTCCTCCTCTTCAGACATTCCCACCAGTGCCTAGATGTTGGGGCTGGTTTCGGGAATACTCACAGTGTTGGGAGTAGGGCCACAAATGCAGCCTCACTGCCTATTCTACTCATGGAACCCTTTTCCTGTGAATGATGGGGGCTATTCTCCCTAAACTACAGTTCAGTAAGGAAGAAGAGCTAAGAATCTCTATTGGAGAATCATCACCTTCTCCAAACTGCATTCTCAGGATTCTACTAAACTGGTATACTGCCAATGAAAGTTTGTAACGTAGATATACCCAGACAACTCCACACTTGGATTACAATACAATATCTCGCTGATTACACTCCCACACAAACACCATGCATCCAAGCTGGTTATGACTTTGAGAATGGCTTCCTTGCAGTTTATAGGTACCATCAGCAAACCTCCTGATTTCCTGTTCTCTAACCTAATTTCCTACCAAAGTGACCACAGATTGACAAAAACAGTTTCAAAACACACCCACATTCATCAGGATGGAATCTACATAACAGAATGGTTGTTGCACACTAAAGCCTATTCCTCATACTGATTAGGATTGAAAGGAGACTATAAAAAGACTCAGAAAATGCAAAAAAAAAAAGGTACAGCATGGCCTTAAAGGGGGGGGGGAGGAGAGGTGACTCCTCTAATATTGTCTTTCCCTCTTCCCATGCTAAAATCAATAAGACCTGAGATACAAAGGTGTCAGCAACCCAAAGGTGAAAGAAGGGCATTTTGAGCAGGATTTCAACAATCCTGGGGGGGGGGGGGTTGGCCAAAAAATATCAGATACTAGTTTTTTGTTTTAAATCTATGAAAAGCATCTGTCAGATGCTGGTACTCTCAAAATACTTTCATTTACTTTCAACGTTTACTAAAGAGTTTGGGTTAAAAATAAAGAAAACAGTTACTCATTGAAATATAGCTGTTTTCATATTTGGCATTAGTTCTAGATGAATGTCCTGATTATCAAAGAGAGATTTATTTTAAAATTGCTGCTGCAAGGCCAAGGTAAAGAGACAAGCAGTAAAAACATTTTTTTGGAACGCATCAACAAACATTGATTTTTCCATGCCTAAGACACAGCACCCCTTCGCCCCTTCCCCTTGTACAGTAAAGCCTGCATCTGTGGGGAGGAAAATGGGGGAACACTTGTTAGCCCTATACCTAATGCTATTATACCTGCTGAAAACACAGACAGAGCACAAGCAGGGCTGGCAGTCCCAATTTTGTCCCCCCACTTCCATTATGTACAGAAAGGATGAACAGCCTTTTCCACACTGAGGCTTCATTGACTCATGGTCCATCCTTCAAGGGCAACTTGTGAAAATGGGTGTGCTCAAAGTGTAAAAGTTGGTGTGGCCAATCTTTTTTTTTTTTTAATGATATGGGCTGGTCCAAATCGGACCTTTGGCCTCACAGTACCAGCAGCTGGGTACTAATGGGAGCAACCAGGCAATATATGATTTTAAAAAAGCTAAGTTTTTGAAAAACAAAATTATCTTTTTTAAAAAATGCAGGCGCTTGGTGGGGGTTGTACAAACACCTTTTGGCATCAAAGTGGTTCGGTAACTCAGATAATGACTACGTAAAGGCCAGGGTATATTATTCCTTTCCTAGTGTCACCATATGTATACCTCCCTGGTGGTTTACTGCCTCCACCATAGGGCATAGGCGAGCACATGGAAGGGTGCATATTTCTAGATAGACTTTGGTGGGTAAGTGGCTTTCTCTCTAACACTCCTGAAAGACATATTTCTTCTGGGCTCTCATATGACCTTTCCAAGCTCACTTGCTTACATGAGGGCATTCCATTCCATGACCAACAGGCAACTATGGCTGGGAAAGACTTTGGTTCATTTCCACTAGGGAGTCAAGGAATCTTATCCTGCTCCTGGTGACATGGCTCAGCAAGCAGCAGAGTAGCCTTTCCCACCCTCGTCTCTCTCCTACCTACTGTCACCTGCATTGGCCACGTAGAACTTCCCCAGGAGATAAACCGCAGCCAGGGCGCAGCAGCCTCCTGATGCATGCCGAGCCACCCGTTCCTGCTCGATCTGAATGTCCTGGGGAGACAGAAGAAGAGACTCACTTGTGGAAGGCAGCTCTCTGAAGAGAGGTGCAGCGCAACAAGACAGGAAGCACACACATGCATCAAGGTGGACAGGGATGGGGAAAGCTTTGGCTCTCCAGATGTTGTTGGACTCCAAAATCCCATTGGCCCATGGCAGCTCATGCTGATGTGGTCCAACAACAAAACCCAAGCACAGGTCCTCCATCCCTGAATTAGGATTATCTTTTACAGCAATCACCCAAGCTGCCTCAATGGTTTAACATCAAAGCTCTGGTAGCTCCCAGTGCCCTGCCAATACAAGCTGCTCCTTACAAGATTTTTTGCAATTGGGTCCGAATGTTACACAAGGTGTGAATGCATGCAATGGTAGGAAGCCCAATGATCTGTTTTAAGATGTGGAAAAGCCATGTGGAGGAAGCAGCAATCAGGAGCAGAGAGTGACTCATTCTTTACCCACTCACCACTTTGTCGCTCTCACAAATAGCTTCCCACATAGGTACCTGCACTTCCAACATGTTTCTTGGGAAGCGCATATAGCTCAGTCAAGAACAAAATAGACATGTATTGCTTCTGTTCTAAAGGGCGTGTATAAATTGAAGCATTTCCCTTTAAAAAATGCAGACATTTTTCCAATCCCCACTTACCTAGGTAGGAATGGGGAAGCATTTGCAGATAAATACATACCTGACATGATAATACTGATGTTTCTATACTCTGGTGTATGGATCTACTCACTTGAGGTTAAACTTACTAAGTCTCTGAAATTGGCTTCACAGCATTTGGTTTCCTCTCGGGTCAAGGAGAACAGCAGAACCCTCAGACTCATTCCTTATTTTACTAATGGAACCACATCAACTCCTAATCTGCTTTTAAAGGCAATCAATGCCTATTTTTCTAATCTGTTTTAGACCTTTAGTCCTTCCCTTCCTCTTCCAATTTAGACCAAGCTAGGAGGATTTTAATTGCATGCAAATAATTAACATGCATTTTTTTTATAAAAAAAAGCTGCCACAGAAAGGAAAAGGAATGAGATTGGGACTGCAATACTTTAAGAGGTAGGGTTAAACCTGTCCTCCTCCTCCTCCTCCTCCTCCTTCTCCATGAACCCAACAAAAATCTGTAGAAGCTTCCCTTCCCTTTGCTCTTAAGGTTACCGGCAGTTAGGAATCCGGCAGAACATATTTGCTTTTCAGCAACAGTGCATCCATCCTCACCTGAAGTAGCTCCCTTATCTGAGTTTGCATGGCTTTAATATGCAATCTTGCAAAGGACTGTGTGCTGTTCCAGTGATGTAATTTGTTTGTGTGTGGTGGCTTCTCATCACAAGATGACAATATCATGGTGTGAGAGCATTGTTGAGGAAGTTTCTGCCCACACATCAATCCCAGAATGCACTGGGCACTTCTCCAAGATAGGATCAGGGCTAACACACACACACACACACACACACACACTCAGTTCAGTAGGGCTATTCACTTCCTCGTTATTAGAATCAAAGAGCTGTAGCATTGTAAGGGACGACAAGAGTCATCTAGTCTGATCCTCTGCAATGCAGGAATCTTTTTACCCTACATGGGACTTGAACCCACAACCCTAAGATTAGGAGTCTGATACTCTACCAACTGAGCTATCCTGCAGGTATTATCCTGAAGGCATCCCTGTTTAGGGAAGCTTTTAATGTTTGATGCATTATTGTATTTTAATATTTTGCTGAAAGCCGCCCAGAGTGGCCGGGGAAGCCCAGCCAGATGGGTGGGGTATAAATATATTATTATTAGTTGTTATTGTTGTTGTTATTGTTGTTGTTGTTATTATTATTATTATTATCAGTGACTGCTAAAAGGAACAATAGTGTTTAAAATCTGCAAATATACATGATTAATTATTACAGCAAGGTAGAAAGGAATGTGCTGGAGAGACTTGTAAATATTTTTAAAGGCATTTGGGGAAGGGCTGTAGCTCATTTATAGAACATCTGTTTTTCATGCTGAAGGTTCCATGTTCAATTCCTGGCATCTCTGGGTCGGACTCAGAATGTACCAGTCTGAAACCCTGGAAAGCTGCTACCAGACAGTGTAGACAACACTGATGGACAAATTATCTCTATAGTGCAGATTTACATGCTTCTATTGCTAACTTATTTTAAAAGTGGAGGTGAAACAGTAGCAGCAGCACATTTACTATGTGCACTGAAGGTCTGGGGATCACTATTCGACTTCTCAGGACCCACACCTACAACCAGTTTGTCATGTGGGAAGCCATGAAAAATTATATGCTTATAGTGTATGCAGCTTCTGACTATGTTACTTCCTGTGCTGCAGCAATGGAGCCTGGGGGCCTGAACTTCGCAAGGCTGAGCTGCAGAGGAACAGCCAAGCAGAGCAGACTCATGATCTGAAAGCTGGGTAAGCAAATACCCTGTCAGACCAAAATAGTCATGGGTTGCCCTGTCAGCATCTTGGCTGCAAAAGGAAGTGAATCCACATTCTGGAGGGAGGACAGCCAGGCAGGAACGGAACACATCCCAGATCCTAGGACTGTCTCCAGCTTGCACTTTATGCCATGTCTGTCACTGTGTGGGCTCATCGAAAATGGGGTTTTTTAAAACAACAACAACAACAACAACAACAATTAATTTAGGTTTCTTTCATTTGTGACCTCAAATGATTCCAGCTGGGTATCAGAGCTATACTTTTCTAATTTAAATCTGAGAGTTAGGAAAATTCGGGAGTGAATAATTCACCCAAGGTCACTTGGTCAGTTTCAAGGTCAAACAAAATTCTTTACCTGGAATCTCCCATGTGCAAACTCAGTTTTCTATCTGTTGCACTCCACTTCTGGCCAGTAAAATCTTATTAAATGTTTTAATAGCATTGAATCAGACCTTCTTCTCCAGCATACTCCCCGTTTTTTCCTAGCACACTCACCATCTGCTTGAATGCATTCTCAATAGCTCCCACCACCAAACTCTCATGGGAAACGGCCTTTTCCATATGGAAGCGTGGCAGGGCATTGTTTGGGACCTCAGCATCTTCCTCAGCCAGAGGAACCCTGTTGGTTCTCCTAGAACTGTCCTGGGACCATCTTCCAGGCAGATTGGAGGAAGGGATGAGTCTTGTAAGATGTCCACCAAGTCTCGGAGTTGGTCACGGATTTGGAAGTGAAGCAGCTTGGATGCCATGACTGCAGCTCCGCTTCCAGCATGCCCATCAAACAAGCCCCAGTAGTAAAAAGTCAGGCCTTTGGTGCCCTGCAGGGAACGAGGTACAAATCAAATCAAATATAAGAGAGAATTGGCCCCAAAGAGCCGAAGGAAACAAAACACATGTTAAAAGCCAAAAGAGACGAGGCAGTAACACTACACGATTCCATGAACTTTAATTGTTGAAGCTACATTCAGCTCCTTCTGCGCCACTGGTTAACTTAAATCACAGTGTGCAAATTTAGAGGCTTAAAGGACATCCTCTTCCCGGACTTCTGATCTACTGCAATGCAACTGGAGGATGAGAAACGGAGGGAAGGATCTGTGCGTAAAAGGCTATGGAGTAAAAAAGCTTGAAGTGCACGTATGGCAAATTCATGTGCCACTCATTCCTTTTACAGCAACATTGACAATAAGTACTCCAGGGGAGAATGGAACAAATCTCAAGGGAACTTCTGAAGTTCCAAACATCTTGTGTCAATATATCAGCTGTGAGTGGAATCACTTTCTCCTCTCCTCAAACCAGGATAGAGAAGGTAGATATAGGACAGAGAGCCAACATTTAGAAGGAACTCTAGCCATTGTGTTGCTCACCCCTTCTAGATCTCCAGAGGTTTCCTTGGGGGCTGGGTTATTCCTCACAGCCCGTCTCTTTTCCACATACACTGCCTCACAGCATGCTTGATCCTCGTTGTGTTGGCTCTTGCCAGCATTTATCACCCTGGGCAGAAAGAAAGATGCAATCAGACAGTGTTTGATTAGATTAGTGAACTTCCTTTTCCCATGCGTCAAGGCGCTCTCAAAGCAAATATTAAAAAATGTAACATAAGCACTGATAACTGGGAAACACTGGCCTGCGAGCACTCCAAGAACAGCCTTTACCAAAGGTGCCATGGACTTTGAATAAGCACAAACTGAGTGCAAAAAGGAGAAACAAGCTAAGAGGAACGCACGTTTGACAAACCCACTCTGGCCCAGAAACTGGTGTCTCCACTGTGGAAGGACGTGTGGATCCAGAATTGGTCTCTACGGTCACTTATGGACTCACTGTTAAGACTGTGTTCATGGAAGACAATCTTACTCAGCTACAAGTAGTCACCGAAGAAGAAGAAGAAGAAGAAGAAGAAGAAGAGCTTTTTTACAAAGCTGAAAATGTAGTGCCATGTCAATTCTTCCAGGAAAGTGGAAGACAATCTGAAAGAGGGCATATTTGGTAGTCACAGTTTCACACATTACACAATATGCTGTCTGCTGACTGGGCAGTCCTCCTTGCCTAAGACCTGGCCCTGGCATTGTGTGGTGTGTACACTTATCCCACTTCGCTGGTTTCTTTAGTGCTTGTTGAACTGGTGGCCTATGGGCACCAACAGGTCCACTAAGCCATTTCTAGTGGCCCATGCACCAGCACTGCCACTAAAAATGTTGGTAGCAGCATCAGTGGCAGCATTTTCCTTGGGGGAAAGAAAAACAGCTCAGAGTCTAGTGACGGCTCAGGATCGCAATACCTGAAAGATCGTCTCTCCCCATATATACTGTCCTGGACTCTGCGTTCATCATCTGCGTTCATCATCATCTTTGTGTGCCTCCTCCACATGAAGTCTGGAGAATGGGCCTTTTCTGCAGTGGCTCCCTGTTTCTGGAATGCTCTCCCCAGAGAGGTTCGTCTGGTGCCTCCATTATATATATTTTAGGTGCCAGGTGAGAACACTCCTCTTTGATCAGGTCTTTGGCTGATTAAAATTCTACAGCCATTTAAATGTCTTTGTGTGGGGGTGGTATTATTGTTTTGTTGCTTCTGTTTCAACTACTTATTTGTGCTTTTATCTTGTATTTTTACCTTGTGAACCTCCCTGAGCTCTTTTGATGAAGGCTAGTATATAAAATAAAATAAAGTAATAGTGAGGGAAACCATTTGGGCAGAACCTGTTGGTAGTAATTTTCTTTCCTCCTCCATGGGGAAAGTAGGCAGCCAAGAGCTCTGATCTGGGGCTGGTGTTTCCTGAGTGCTCTTTATTACTGCAGGCACTCTGGAAACCTTGGATCAGTTCAGATCACTTGGTTGTTTACTCCCTCGGTGAAAGAGAAGAGATTGCCACCAATGGCAACCATCCTCATCCCTCACCTTTCCCATCGGTTGTTAAGTGGTATCTCTCAGTTTTTCCTTGTGTGGCTACAGAAATGAGGGCAATACTAACGTCAGTTGCAAAAACACAACAACCCATCTTTGTGGGAGGAAGTTGTAGAAATGTGAAACAGGAAACGTTCCCTGGACAAGAGCAGGCAGAAATTCTGTTTGCAGAGCAAAAATGGGTTGACATTTGAGGAGTGTGGTTGAACAGAGTCTGAAAGCTTTAAAACTCTCAAACTTCCTCTCACGTACACTTTCCCAGAGCCAAGAGGTTAGCAAAACCCTCCACGTGCCTCTGAAGCAACAATGTCTTTTTAAACACATAAAAGAACTGGAAGTACAAACAAACTGGAGGCGTGTCATCGTTTTAAACTGCAAATACCCAACCACACACAGAAAGCAAAAATAAATAATTAAGAAAATCATGTATTTCATACATTTATATCCTGCCATCAAACTAATATACATGGTGTCCCACATAGTTCAGTCCCCCTTTTTATCAAAGATGAGAGCTCTGCCTGTGTTTCATGTTTCTTCATACCATAGCCTGTCTGTTTAAATATATTTTAAGACAATGCCTCCTTCTCCTGAAGCTTTTCTGAAAAGGCAGGAAGCAGAAAGAAGAGTTGGAAGATATATAGTACCTCAGAAAATGAGAAGGAAGTGGAGCACACAGAACCTGCTCCAGGTATCACCATACAGATCCTGGTGGTGTGTTCTTTGCCTGCAGGCTAAATCCAGCTCAGTTGTCATATATCTGCTTGTCCGTGACATACAACTAGTGGGGTTGTCAACTTTTCAACTGGCCTGTGGATCTGCTGTAATCATCAGGCAAAAATAGTTCTTTTCAATTATGTAAGGGGGAGAGTGGGCCTATCCTGGCTGGCTTTGCCCCTACCCTCATGCCTCCACACATTGGGAAATTATATACCAGTGAGGTGATTAGGGTGCCAGCCCACGGAGATACTGTATGAATTTGGATAAAAGTAAAGGTAAAGGTACCCCTGCCCGTACGGGCCAGTCTTGACAGACTCTAGGGTTGTGCGCCCATCTCACTCAAGAGGCCGGGGGCCAGCGCTGTCCGGAGACACTTCCGGGTCACGTGGCCAGCGTGACAAGCTGCATCTGGCAAGCCAGCGCAGTGCACGGAAGCGCCGTTTACCTTCCCGCCAGTAAGCGGTCCCTATTTATCTACTTGCACCCGAGGGTGCTTTCGAACTGCTAGGTTGGCAGGCGCTGGGACCGAGCAGCGGGAGCGCACCCCGCCGCGGGGATTCGAACCGCCGACCTTTCGATCGGCAAGTCCTAGGCACTGAGGCTTTTACCCACAGCGCCACCCGCGTCCATGAATTTGGATAGCTTCCCCCAATGAGAGCAGGGGGCAGGAACACAATGGCAGGAGCAGGGCCAGCTGGTACAGGCCCCACTGCAAGACAGTGAACTCCAGAAGATGGAAATAGATCACTTCCAAGTTGTGAAAAGCTTTCCCTTGGGGTTCCCTGCTGTTTGCCACTGTCAAGGGCAGGGATGGGCAAATACGTCAAATCTTGCAAAACTGTTTCTCCTAATATGATGCATTTTTGTATGTTATTTTTCACTAATATATGCATTTCTATGCACACGTTGCACTAGCATATATATTTTTGTACACATTACTTGGCTGACAAACTTGCAGAGTAAAATTTGGAGAAGTGCGCATTTCAAAAGAGGGGTGTTTCTGTTCATGTCTTGTTTTGGAAAGCGGGATTTAAGCAAAGTCCTCCAATTGTGAACATAAACAAAATTCTCACTCATCCCAGGGCAAGAAAAACTGCTGCAGAGGCTGCTTGAAATTTGACAGTGCTGTGATTTGGTACATATCATGTGATTCAATTTACTGTTATCCCATAAAGATTACAGCTGCAATCCTGACCTCACTTATCTGTAAGTAGCTCCCACTGCATTCAATGGGACATACTTCTGAGTAGCCACAGTTAAGACTGCAGCTTACATGGCACACCTAGATTCCTTCTCAGAAATAATGTCACCCAAATGTGTTGAGTTTTATCTCAGCCTTCACAGATTTGTGGGCAGCTTCAGACATTACAAAGAAATGTGCATCTACAAATGATAAAGCATTACTGCAGCAAACATGTCATTATATGGGTAAGATTCTTAAGAAAACGGGAATCAAACCCAGATTTGTATTTCTTACAATTTGTTGCCTATGAAGTGGTCCTTTGGTACGTTTCTACCCTTAAAAGAACCTTAACTTTCTACATTCTCCAGCAATGCATGATGGAAGTATGTAAAACAAACATGCATTAGTGGATTATGGTGGCTCATTTTGAGCAGGCCATGGCACCGTTGGACAGTTATGTGCAGAGAGAGGCACTAATCCCAGATGGCAGGTGCTGTGGGCAGCAATGGCAGCCTTCCCACACCCAGCTATTCCTCCAGAACACTCTGGCTATTCCTCACTGTTTGACATTAGACCTAAATGTTCCCCAGGCCTATCACACACATCCTAAACAAGCCTGCTGCCCTCAAGTGCCCTGGAGGAAGTCATTCCATTGCCAGTGTTGAAGTCCAGTCAGTTTTGGGCATTGAATGGAGGGATGTGCCACCTTGCCCTCTGCCTCAAGCAGCAAAATGCTTTGAGTCAGTTCTGGTTATTTGTTTACTTCTTATTTATTTTATTTCTGAATCGCTTCTCATGAGGCATCTCAAAGTGATGTACAACAGTTACAGTGGTACCTCGGGTTACATACACTTCAGGTTACAGACGCTTCAGGTTACATACACTTCAGGTTACAGACTCCGCTAACCCAGAAATAGTGCTTCAGGTTAAGAACTTTGCTTCAGGATGAGAACAGAAATTGTGCTCCGGCGGCATGGTGGCAGCAGGAGGCCCCATTAGCTAAAGTGGTGCTTCAGGTTAAGAACAGGTTCAGGTTAAGAACAGACCTCCAGAACGAATTATGTTCTTAACCCGGGGTACCACTGTATGTGCAACTGTTAGAAGATGGTGGTTTTTATTATTATTTATTACATTTATATACCACTTTCATCTAGGAAGTTCCAAATCCTGCAAACGGTAACGCCCATACAGTTTCCGCACAGCTACAAATATATGTTTCTATTTACAGCCAAATACCCCTGTTTTAAACACTTTTACTCTGAAGCAGATTTCAATCCAGCCTTCAAGTTAAGTGCACTTACACCTCAGGCTGAGATCATATGCATGCTTAGTTGAGAATAAGCCCTACTGAATTCAGCAGCATTTATCTAAGTAAATATTCACTGCATAAACACAACCTGCAACTTTGAGAGTAACCAGTAATTTTAATGGAGCTTCTCCAGAGGAAACAGATCCAAGTGTTCAATTGACAACAATGGTCAAGGTCTCTCCTTCCCTAAATAAAAAGTTCAGAAAGAAAAGAAAACCAGATCAGCAAAGGGCACCTCCCCTATCTAGATAGTTATTTTTAGAACCTGTATCATTATCTCAGGGCTGAGCCCTAGTAACCTTCTTATAACCAAGATGTGTTTTCCTGCCAAACAAAGGCAAGCTAAGGTCAGGGACACAGCAGCAAGGAGTCATCCACTTTTATGAAAAGTGGAACGTTTCACTTATTGGAAACTGAAACTATAATTTTATGTAGATATGTGAAATGTACATAGGAATAAAAATAGAATAAAAGAGGGAAGGAGTAAAAGCTCTCTTTTATGTAGTTTCAGTGTTTTGTAATATAAACCTGATGAATTACCGGTATATTCTTTTAAAAAGAGACCCAGCTAAAACAAGCATGAGCTCCTTTGTCTGTCCAAACTCCTATATTTCACCAGCTAGATGCCAATTTCCCCAAACACTGCATCTCACTATACCCCATAAAAACTTTAGCTACTGAATTTCTATCCACAGGAACCTGTTCAGAATAATGTGTGGTGATCTTAGTGAGAATAAAAATAAAAAATTCACCCACACAAGCCCCAGACACCAGAGGGTTAAAGTAGTTTGCTATTTTTGTATGTTCTGGATTCTCTCCAAAAATACATTTAGCCATATTTTCAAGCTTTTTCTTCCAACTGCAAGGACAAGAGAGCTGCTTGTGTGGGTGTGCATGAGAGCCAAAAGTGGGTTAACATTAAATGCAAGACTGCATTTAAAATGTCTGTTTTTCCTTTAACAGTAGCAAAGTGGGGACAGTAATTCGATGGGGACTGTGGAACATGGAGAGTTTTATTTTTAAACTCATGCTGGCTTGACCCTGAGAGATCCTGATTTTCAGTGTTTAATCATCTTGTATATGGCAAAATCTGGAATATTTCATGAATTCGAAGGTCATCCTTCCTCACGAGCTATACTAATCTTCTCTATATTGTATTTATTATGAACAAAGCTGAAGAAAAAGACAGGAGCTGTCCATTTGTAATGACAAATTTTGGTGGGTGGGTGTTGTTGCAAGAAATGATCATTTACAAACTTTCTGAAGAAAAGAAGGTTAGGAGACTCAGTTTGATAGCATCACCGACCTCTCCCAGCAACTAATCCAACACCTGCCCGCCATACCTTTAAAGAAGGCGGCAAGGAACTCAAGCCTTTCCTGGGACTCTCAGCTGCACCTAATGTAAATCATTCAAGAGAGACAGATTCTCCCACAGCAAGCCTATGCACAGTTCCTAGAACATAAAAATGTCACTGTGCACCAGAGCTTTCCAAACTTTTCATGTTGGTGACACACGTTTTAAACATGCATCATTTCATGACACAGTTAATCAGTTTTACTAGCAAGTCGGAGGTGAAACTAACCCCTTTGCAGCCCTGGGAGGAGCATGGGGATAATCTGTGCAACACTTACACACTGCAGCCGACACACTAATGTGTCGCGACACAGTTTGGAAAGCTCTGCTGTACACAGCTGAGCTCACTTCCTCATAAGGATCAGGTTGCATGTAAACAGGTAACAGTCTCAATATGCCTTTAACAGCAGAAGCGGAAAATAGATACACAGGCAGTGTTCCACGTTTTCCCTCCTGCACATCACCCAAAAAGAAGAAACATACTCGATAAAAACTGCATAAAATTTGCATGTGTTGTTGCATATAACTAAACGCAAACTTTAAAAATAATTGCTACAATTTAAGCACAGCGAGGAGCTAACCTGTATGCCTGCTCTGTCTACTCTCCTGGTGATGGGCAACTTCAAACACCCTCCCTTCTCCTCTGTATCTTCTTTCTCTTCTTCACTGCCCATCAAACGAAGACTGTCCTCTGCGAAACCGGACACAGAGCACCCTGCTAGGCTTGGTTAGCTTAAAGAACTACTCCCAGCCCCATAGCCCCGCCCTGCCTTCTCCATGAGCGGCCGCAGAGCATCCTCAGACCGTCCGAGGTGAGTTAAGCATCTTGGACAGCTGACTGGCTACGCGACGGGGCTTCTCCACCTAACCGCGCACCTGAGCTCACAAGTCCTCAGAGAGCGGGGCGCGCCAGGCTAACTTGCAAGAGGGTGAGCGTCGCAGCTGCACGAAGACCCACGGCGCAAGGGTGGGGGATGTGGGGTGGGGTTGATCGCGTTTGAGGAAAGGGCCAGTGTCAATTGATCAGCGGATTGGACAGGCCAGAGCCCGAGTTTCATCGCCTTACCTCATCTACACGTGAATACACCCTCCCTTCTCGACACCCTCATACTAAGGGAGCTATGGCTAGAATGATTAAGAAAGGATATCTACGTTAAAGGTTAGATTATAGGAGGGGCTCTGGTGCTGGATCCGTATTCCACAAGGACCATCTTGATGCTTGCGGGAAGCCCGCAAGCACCACGTGAAGGTAAACTGTCGTGCGCCCTTACCGTGGTAGAAACAAACACGCGCTCACCAACAGGTATCCAATGGTAGACTGCCTCTGAAGCTGGAGGCTCGCTTTGCGAACCATACATGGACCGTAAGCTCGCCTTGGCTCCGAAAGCCCTTATCTTTAAATCCCAAAGTTGTCTGAACATGCTCAGAGACACTTTACCACCCGCTACACGCCCGAGATTAGGGAGGGAAGAGACAGACAGACAGACATAACTACAAGACCCACAAGCACGCACCCCCACTTAAAAATAATAATCTCTGGGTGGGGTATGCTTCCCAGCGGTCCCGCGAAGCAGCCCTCTCCCCGCCTGCCCTCCCCTCTCGCCCGCCCTCTCCTACTCGGCGTAGCCGGTGCTCCAAGGCAGGCGGCGGCGGCTCTCGCGGGGGCTCTGGACGGCTCGGCCCGTGTGATCATCCGCCCGCAGAAGCTCCTCGGGCGTGAGCTGTAGGAAAGCCGGTCTGGAGAAGCTGCTTCGGGGCGGTTCCCGGCAGGGACCGGTGCTGGCGGCGGTGGCGCTGGCGCTGGGCCCGGGGGCAGCGGGCGGCGGAGGGGGCGGAGGCGCCGCCGCCGCCGAACCGGAGGAGGCCGAGACGGACGGCGGGCTCGAGGGGCTTCCTCCGCCCCCCAGGCCCCCGACGAGTTGCGCCATCGCGGAGCGCACCCTGCCCAACATGCTGCAGGAGCCGCTGCCGGGCTGCAGGAGCCGCGGGCTCGGGGAGGCGGGAGAGGGAGGCGCGCTGCCTGGCTCCGCTCCCCTCCTCCGCCTCCGCCCGCTCGGCTCGGGCTGCAGCTCCGCCGCCAAGTCAGGGAATCTCCGAGCGAACGCCTTCCCCCTCCCCAACCAGCTTCCAGCATCCTCTCGGGGCGCCCCGAGCCTAGCTAGGGCCTCCCTTTCGCGCGCGTCTTCAGAGCCCCGTCCTTCGGTGTCCTCCCCACCCCAGTGGCCTCTGGGGCGAAAGCGACTCCTTAGCACCTCACCTCGGAGGAGTCCCTCTTGTGCGCGCCCTTTCCCCCCACCGGGCTGCTTTGGAGAGCCTCGCCCGCCGCAGAGTGGCTGCCCCTCGTTGGCTTCTTATTGTGTGGACTGAGATTTAGTGGACCAAATGTTTGCGGGCTCTCGATGCTACTACATTCGTACACACAGCATCGATGATCTTCAGGCAATCCACAGTTATTTTAAGGGGAAAGTGATGTCTATATGATCATATGTATACTGCAACTCCAGAGTCGTCCGTGACTGGACCTAATGGTCAGGGGTCCCTTTACCTTTACCTTTTATACTGCTTTAGGTTTTTGTAGTGTAAGGGCCTGAGCTCAGTTTAGAGGGTGATATAAAAATGCAAGCAACGTGGAAAAAAAATGCTGCTGGTCTCTGAGGTGCTACAAAAAGATCCTAGGAGCCAGTCCCCAGTGACTGACTCACCCTCTTGGGCCAATTGACTCCCATCTATACAAAAGGTGTGGAGATTTCTAAGTTCCTAAAAAGCTCCCCTTTCATGCTGATGAGGTAACTCTAGGATGTTGGAAACAGGGCCCCTGTTGCAGAAATTGTAACAGGTCTTGAACCTGCCTCCCTCCCACAACTACATCACCTCTAGTAAGCACTACTGTACCATCCAAATCACTATTACTCCAGACAGGGTATCCTGGTTCTTCGCTGCTTTAGAGTCACCACACAGGCCCCGAGCAGCTACTGGTCATCTCAGACAGCAAAGGATGCTCAAAATGAGTTTAGGTTGCATCCTTAGAAACAGAAACGTACATTACTGAAGTGACCCTGTGCTTTCTCCTTTGCTCTCAGCACCATTTTACTACACTCCTTTATGACTATTCTGCAGACTCCACTGCATCATGATCCATTTTATATTGTCCCCCAGACCTTTTCTATATAATACTTATTGTCTTGGCTTCAAATATGTCACTGCCATAGAGTGACATTGTCACCCCCCTCCTCCATTAGAACTGCACTGCCTAGCCAAGAAACATGCACATGCGCTCACAGACGGTGTTCTTAGCACCTTTCTTTATGGTTTTCCCTGTGCCAGAGTTGTTGTCTAATTGGGAGTGTGTAGTATTTGCTCTGTTCTGGGTTTACAAGGCACTCTGGGTTTCACATGGAGGGCTTAACTGCAGGGGATGAAGAGAGGAGTCTTTGGCTGCTGGATCCTGGGATAGGCTAGTGAACAAGGATAATTGCAAGCTCCCCTTGTGAAGCTGAGTCATTTGGTAGCTCAGGAATTCATGAAAGAGTACTTGTTTGATTTATCTAAAAGGAGCAGTATTTTCTGAGTCCTCTTTGTAGGTCTACCTTGTTAGTTGGTTTGTTGCTCAGCATGACACATAAATCTCCTGCCTACATACACAGCAAGTTTTGCTGTGGTTACAAAACCCAAGTCACCAGCAGGACGGGAGTGTGGCTTGGTAGAGCAAGCAAGTTTTGGGAGCCAGAAGTGGAGATAGAGATCTGAGGACAATCACTATGGGTGGTATTCCGTTAAACTTTACTTGGAGTAGATCAGCTGAAATTAATGGACCTAAATGTCATGCTCACCCTTTTCAGTGACTCTGCTCTCAGTCTGGCTTAGTTGCATATCACTCTGGTTTGTCTAAGCAACATTGACAAAAGACCAGTGAATTAATGGTTAATGCATTTTAGAGAGGTGTGAATACTCCCATTCTTTTCTCACTGGTGAGAGCTGGTGTGGAAAGAATATGGGATGTGGACCAGGGAGGTGTGGGTTGAAATTTCTGTTGAGCCATGAAGATAATTGGACAGTCCTGGGCAAGTCACCTTATAAGTGACTGACCTAGCGTCTACCTAACCTACATTAGAGACATGTTGGGATAAGCAGGACAGCCACTGATATTCTTGGAGGAAAGGTCATGATGTGTGGCAACACACAAAAGAGAAGTCCCAGCCATTCTGCAAAATTCAGTCAGGGTGAAGATTAGATTCCAAAGGCACAAGAGCTCAGGGCATGCCTGCTGTTATTTCTGAAAGGCTAAGGTTGTAGTACTGTATACACTTAGCTGGGAATAAGATGTCTCAGCTAAGATAAGCAAGATCTGTTGAACTCAATAGGGCTTCTAGGATTTGTACAGTGAAATGCAGGTGTGCTTGCTGCTCCATTCAAATTGTGGTTAAGGTCCTGACGCACATGGTGATAGTTTGCTTGTGCATGTATCCCTTCTTGTGTTGCTGTCAGACTGCAGCAAGGCTGCACATGGCCCTATACCCTGGGAAGGGTGGAGAAAGGTAGCCATCACCCTAAGCTTTCTTACGGTTCTGGAGAAATACCATGCTAGTGTTTTAAAATGTGTCTGTTTCCCTTCACAGAGAACCTCTTTGGAGGGTTTGGGTTTTTTTTTTTTTTTTAAATCATTTTAGTTTGTGCTTCCTCAATTGCCATTAATCACGCTGTAAAGGACACTGTGAATGACTCAATTCTTTGCCAGACCTGAGAGGAAATAGTACATTCAAGGTGAGAAGAGCACTGGACATATTCTCTTTTCATATGCAACTCTGGTTTCTGGCCAGTTGCTTTGAACTGGTGCCTGTTAGGTGTGAAACTGGAATACAAAGTTTTTATTGAACAAATTGGCATCCTTCTTGCGAGTGCAGGCAAGAAAAATGATGAGGCGTTTGTTTCCCCACCAAGCCCAGTTCTGATCCTTCAGCATTTTGTGCTGCTTATGCCCTTGCTGTACCTGCCCAGAGATAAATGTGCTAAAGCAGCACCTTTCTTGGATTGAAAACCCTGCAGAACAACAAAACAATGGTGGCTAGTCAGGGTAATGGGAGAAGGCTACGAAAATGCCTAGTTAAGAAAAGAGGTAGACAGGAAAGTTGTGGGGAACATGACGGCCAGTGTTTTCAGTAAGAAAAAGGAGAAGTCAGCTACAAAAGGGATCTGAGCTGTTGCTCCAGCCCACTAAAACATTAGCCAATGAAGCGTGCATGGAATTGGCTCTTTCCATTTCTAGTGGTCCTTCTGCAAAATAGAGAAGACGGATTTTCATAACAAGGGAGACGAGGTGGAGTTGCTTGCATATCTTAAGGAAGAAATGGCACTTGCAGATTCATTAGCACTCTGCATGTCCCAGTTCTTAGAAGAGGCTCAAGGATCACTGCTGCTCCGGTGTGCATTATGTGTGTGCACCAAAAACACACACGCTGAATGAATTGTGAATTTATGTGCATTTATTTATTGTGCACAGTTCTTCTCAGTTTTACCAATGAATCTGATTTTCTTAAACACCTGAAACTAGAGAGGGAATGGCATCAAATCGAGGTTAGGGTTTTAGAGCATGTTATGTACTAAGCTTGGATCTTAGAACAATAGGCAAGTAGGATCCTAGAATGCAACAACTGATTGGCCTGCAGGAAAAGACCAGCCAGGCTCCAGGAGGGAAGCAGAATCAGCCAGTCAGATGGGACTTATTGTGTAAATAATGTATATAAAAGCCTGAGGTTTGGGGGGCAATTAAATCACTGTTTTACAAGCTACAATAAAGAGCATGAAATCATTACAGGACTCCGAGTATATTTCAGAGCAGAAAGTCTGGATTCTCTGGGTGCTTAATAGGGTGTCCGTTTAACACCCCACAATTGCAAGGGAAGCCTCTGGAAAGCACACACCCTCAGACCAGGAAAAGGACATGTTCATCCTTATTGGTGACCCAGACAGACAGACAGACAGACAGACAGACAGTATGACCAAACATTGCTAAGGGACAGCAGCAGTAAAAATAATAAAAATTGCAATGCCCAGAGGGCTACTTCTTCTTACAGCTGTGTTACTACTGCAGACAACTCATCATCTTCTCAGTAGCGATTTATTGCAACAGCATTGATAATCATAATTACTTGAACATCCTTTGATCTATGATAACTATCAGACTAATAGTACTACAACTGTCAGTTATGCAACCCTCTTCTGGCATCTTTCATTGAAGATGATAGATGATTCTATTCATTGCAGCAAGTACACATTCAGTTCCATTAAAAAAAGATGAAGATGGCAGCAATCCTATGCTTCCTAGGAGTAAGCTCTTTTGAAGCAAATGGGACTTAGCTCTGTGTGGATATGTATATGATTCTGCTGCTATACTACCATTCCAAACAGACTTGCTAGGAAGTAAGCCCCACTGAAATCAGTGCATCTTGCTTCTGAGTAAACATGGATTGGATTGTGAATGCTTAGGGATGGCCAACATGTATTCTCAAGAGCTGCTTTGTGTTTTGCCTTGTAAATTGCCCCTTGTGTGTAATGAAAAGGTTGGTGCAGTCTTTAGGGCCGCACTGTTGTGGAACATAATATGCGCTTAGGGCCTATCTAGAAGCGACACACCGCATGTCATATATTATCTAGTCTGCCTGTCAGTCTTCCACCACTTTTAAGACCTGGGAGCTCACTTTTTGCACCCATCCACACCCCACACCACCTGCATTCTGGGATTAACTTTTAATTATTTTATTTATTTAGAAAATACTAAAGCGGCTTGCAGCCATTATCATACAATTATAAAACTACACAAAAATTAAAAATTACAACCAATAATTAAAAATATCAAACCTCATTTCTGAAATATATCATGACATAGCTATCCACGAGTCTTTGATGGTATCCAGCTAGTTTCCTCTATTCGCAGGGTCAATAATAGGGCGCCATTTATTCTCCAAGTCTATAAGCATATGTAAACTACCCTGTGATGTTCAGGTGAAGGGCAATATAGAAATTTATTAAATAATAAGAATATATCCTCATTTCTAGCATTTCACATTTGCACAGTTACTCTTTTTAAATAACAAGATGCTTTCAAATCTCCCTGAAATCTACTCAGAGTCGCAAAGTGATTTCACGCTCTTTATTCAGCTCATAGTGGTGAGGAGGAATGAATGAAAGTCCCCTCAAAGTATCTGCTTTATA